TAACTCCTAATAAAAACCCAAATACGTTTCTTCAAGGTAATTGATATGGTAACTTCATTTCTTCCCATATAAATAAACAACGAATGAAAACTATTTTTTTTCATCAATCAAAAACAAAACTCAATAAAGACTTCCATTTCAAAGGATCTATCTTTCTCTCGTGTGCAATATCTTAACATGTCTATTAAAAATGTGTTTTTCCTTATGGCAGTCATATGCGTTATCAGCTCCGTAAATGCTCAGCTACCACAGTTTCCAGCTCCATTTCCTTTCCGATTTCCATTCCAACCAATTCCCGGTATGCCAGGATTATCCGACTTAACCAAATGTTGGTCAATAGTGATGGATATCCCAGGATGCATTGCAGAGATTTCCCAATCTATATTGACTGGAAAGTTTGGTAACATTGGTCCTGCTTGTTGCAAGGCGTTTTTGGAAGCTGAAGCCAATTGCATACCGCAAGTTCCATTGATTCCGTTGTTTCCTCCTATGTTAAAACAACAATGTTCAAGAATTGCCGGCGCAGCTCCTCCTACCCCGAAGTAGAATTTAGATTATTTTTAAAAATCACTATGTCAGTTTTTACTTTCAATCTTATTTTTTGACAATTTAGCTAATAATCCTATCGATGTTATAGCATTTTGGAAATCAAAATGATACAATAATAATAGCATTTTGGAAATCAAAATTTTCTCAGTCATCATTCTGTCAACCAAGCCTCGTTAAAGATTAGAACAAATTTGAATTGCAAAACTTAAATTATATTGCAATGTTTGCTAGCTCATCGTAAAGGTTGCGTTTGGAACATTTCTCATCTCCTTTCTTTATCTGATCAAACCTGTGCATTTTCTTTCTTGAAGCCAAAGAAATTTAGTGAGTTCTTGAATAATCTATACAAGTTTACGCCAAGAAAGGAAGCTATATACATTTCACACTGAATAAGATCATGCGCATCAGCGCATGTTAATGCCTCGTGAACATCGCACATGGTGACATGTGAGGTCTTACCCATGTGAATTTTAGCCTCCGGCCGTTGATGAATAGCCTTTTGGAGAGATGTTACATGGCCTCCTCTTCTCCTTCTCTAGCTGTGTATGTGACCAACGCACAAGCTTTTACAATTTCTTACGAAATCATGTACGTCAACAAGGATATTAGGTTTCTTGCGTCTCAAGTAAGATGCGTTTTCTTTTTGTGAACCCTTGGTTACAACTTACAATGTTAAATTTAATATTAAGCATTCACAATCTTCAAAGGATAATAAGGCAATACTTAAGCATACCATTCATACGCACATTCTAGTATACTCTGATTGCATTTTGACTTTTCATTAATAGTAGTCAATAGTCTACAGAGTACGGATTGTTGAGTGAAACGTTGAAAGTTTTAAAGACGACGACTAGTCGAGTTTATGGTTTCTGTAAGCAGCCTGCGCATGCTCTCGTGGTAACATCCTTCTTACATCTCTTATGATTGAATGTGAAAAAACTTAAATCTTTCGAGTGTGAAATGGCAGTAAAGTCAGGGTCTTCTCTTTTCTGTCTTTATGTACAAGTGCTTAGAATTTAAGCGAATATAATACTACTATATAGGAAGCAGAACAAATTCTGAAACAGGAACACTCAATAATGTCTTTTGTCTCTTCATGCATTATTTTCTTTTTGACTTTGTAACGTGTTTGAATAGTTAGAGAAGGAACTATTTATTTATTTTATTTTATTTTATTTAGCTTTTCAGAAACACATGCATTAACACATGTTTTTCTTATCTTCAACTTCTCATTACCCACTTCTCTCCATCTCAGACGGAGCATGTCTCTCATGGCTTCTCATTCCTATGTTCCCTCTCTCAACTACAAATTCAATGTCTTATCAAGCTTCCACGGGCCTGACGTCCGTAAAACACTTCTCAGTCACATGCGCGACCAATTCAAACGCTACGGGATCACTATGTTTGATGATCAAGAGATTGAGAGAAGCGCAACGATCCCCCCTTCACTCACCGAAGCCATAAGAGAATCGAGGATCTCGATCGTGATTCTCTCCAGGAGATATGCTTCTTCAGGCTGGTGTTTGGATGAATTGGTGAAGATAATGAAGTGCAAGGAAACCATGGGACAAATAGTGATAACCATCTTCTATGGAGTGGAGCCATCCTATGTACGGGATCAGACCGGGGATTTCGGGATCGCTTTCAATGAAACCTGTGCACGTAAGACGGGCAAGAAAAGACAGAAGTGGAGCAAAGCTTTGCACGATGTGGCCAACATTGCTGGAGAAGACTTCTTAATATGGTATGTCTTTTAATTAATCTAAAAGCTTAAGGGAATGTTTTTGTTGAGTGAATACTAGAAATACAAATCACTATACTGAATATGATGGGAATAAAGAAATGTTATTTCTGTGACTAATTGATGTAAACGGTGCTTTTGTTTTGTTTTTGTCTCTCTTTTTGTTAGGAATAATGAAGCGGCAATGATTGAGAAGATTGCAAAAGATGTTTTAAGGAAACTGAATGCGACACCGTCTAGGGATTTTGATGGCATGGTGGGACTTGAGGCTCATTTGAGAGAAATGGAGTCGTTGCTAGATTTAGATTGTGATGGAGTTAAGATGGTTGCAATCTCTGGTCCAGCAGGGATTGGTAAGACTGCCATTGCCAGAGCCTTGTAAAGCCTACTCTCGGACAAGTTTCAGCTTACATGTTTTGTGGACAACCTTAGGGAAAGCTATCATGGTGGTTTTGACGACTATGGCATGCAGCTGCGTTTACAAGAAGAGTTTCTTTCAAAGGTTTTGAACCAAAATGGTTTGAGGATATCCCATTTAGGTGCAGTGAAACAAAACCTACGTGACCAAAGAGTTCTCATCATTCTTGATGATGTGAATAGTATAAAGCAACTAGAGGCGTTGGCTGATGAAACTACATGGTTTGGTCCTGGAAGTAGGATTGTAGTAACCACAGAAAACAAAGATATTTTGCGGCAACATGGTATCAAGAACACCTACCATGTGGGGTTTCCATCTGATGAAGAAGCTGTTAAGATCTTATGCTTTTAGGAGAAGCTCTATGTAGCATGGTTTTGAAGAGCTTGCTAGAAGAGTAACGTACCTTTGTGGTAACCTTCCATTGGGTCTCCGTGTGGTGGGTTCATCTTTGCGTGGGAAGAACGGCGAGGAGGAGTGGGAAGAAGTAATACGGAGGCTAGAAACTATTCTTGACCATCGAGATATCGAGCAAGTGCTAAGAGTCGGTTATGAGAGTTTACATGAGAATGAGCAGTCTCTCTTTCTCCATATTGCAGTCTTCTTCAACGGTGAAGATGGTGATATTGTGAAAGCCATGTTCGATGACCATAACAACTTGGATATCAAACACGGGTTGAATATCCTAGTTAACAGATCTCTCATTTACATGTATCCAAAAGGAAAAATAGTGATGCACAAATTACTGCAACAAGTGGGTAGACAAGCCATTGATAGACAAGAGCCTTGGAAACGTACGATCTTAACTGACGCTCAAGAGATATGTGATGTCCTTGAAGATGATAAAGTAAGTTTTTCTCTCTCTAATTTGATAAATTCTTTGTAGATGCTCCAGAGACTTGTGATGTTCTTGAACATTATTCGTTCATTATTGTATAGTGTAAACTAGTTCATCATTTGGTAAACATAAGACTAACAATTTAATATTGGTTTAGGGTACTAGAGCTGTGTCCGGTATATCATTCGATATATCAAGAATAGATGAAGTATCTATAGGCAAGAAAGCCTTAAAAAAAATGCACAACCTCCGATTCCTCAAAGTTTACAAAAGAAGATATGATAGGAATTATAGCATGCATATACCTGAGGAGATGGAGTTTCCGAGTCGTCTAAGGTTACTACAATGGGAGGCCTATCCAAGCAATTGTCTTCCTCCTACATTTCATCCGGAATATCTGGTCAAACTTGATATGAAGTATAGCCTGATCGAGTACCTCTGGCAAGGAGCCCAGGTTGGTTGGTCTTGTATTTCATATATAAATAGCTTTGTATGGCAAGGAGTACGTAGCTTTGTGGTATATATATATTATACATTCTCTATTTCTCTTAATCTCTTAGTTATTATATTGTGTGATTTTTACATTCAGCCGCTTACAAGTCTCAAGGAGATTGATTTGGCATGGTCCTGCCAGCTCAAGGAACTCCCGGATCCTACAAATGCCACAAATCTGGAGACATTGGATCTGAGTTTGTGCAAGAGTTTGGTAGAGATTCCATCCTCATTCTCACGTCTTGATAAACTACAAAAGTTGACGGTGGTGAACTGCATAAACCTACAAGTCATTCCAGCTAACCTGAACTTGGCTTCACTCGACCATGTCGAAATGTTTGGATGCTCAGCTTTGAGAAATTTTCCAGTTATATCAACGCACATCACAACACTAAGTATATCAAAAACAGCGGTCGATGATCTACCTGCATCAACAAGGCTCTGCTCTCGTCTTTTGTCTCTCAACCTAGAATGTAATGGAAAGCTCAAGGGGTTAACACATCTCCCCACAAGTATACGACGCTATGCCTAATGGAGTCTGATATTGAAATGATTCCAGATTCCATCAAAGATCTTCATAGGCTACATGACCTGAATGTATCTGGCTGCAAAAGACTAGAATCATTGCCAGAGCTGCCCCGTTCGCTCTCAGTTCTATATGCAAACGATTGTGAATCACTAGAGACGGTGTTTTCCCCTTTCAGCACTCCAAGTGCGGTGCTCTGTTTCACCAACTGCTTCAAACTGGACCAACAAACACAAAGAGCGATGATCCAACGATCGATTATCCAACGACCGTTTCGTTACCCGGAAGAGAAGTGCCTTCGATGTTTGATCACAGAGCCGTGGGAAATTCCTTGACCATACGTCTCGATTTTGATAGGCCTCTGCTCTTTACATTTAAGGTTTGCCTCGTGGTTTCACCTAATAACAAGAAAAATACTTGCTCTTCTACACAACCAGTTATGTGCCGTCGCATTGTCAACGGCCACTTAGACCCCACGGAGGAGGAGTTCAATCTACAAAATATCTCCAAATGTCGAACGGAGCATCTGTTGATATGTAAATCTCGCTTGCAATATTTTCACCGCGCTAAAGTTAGCAGTGAGGTAGTGTTCGAATTCAGCAGCAAATACGAAAACCTTGACATCCTTGAATGTGGTGCCCGGATCTTTAGCCAAGCATACTTGCAAATGAGCAATGAGTCCGAACCCTTGGAAGACGATGAAGAAGAATTTGACTCGAAAGAAGACGAGAATCACAGAGGCGCAACACATACGGATTGTTGGAGTTGGCTCTTCTCCTGCTTTGTGAAAAAGGAAGCTTTGTTTCGGGGAACAAGACGACGATAGAAGCCGGAAACAGCTGACGTGGCAGGAAGAGGTGATTAAGCTGATGCAAAGCGTATGTGAGAGAGAGAGACTTTGCTTGGATGAAAAGTTATGTATGTTGCTAACCAAAGCCCATTTTGACATTTGGGACGGCCCAAGCCCGTTAAGCGTTTGTCCCTGATTCTCCCTCGTTTCCGATTAAAATTTAGTATCAGTCTCAGTTTCTCTTGATTCTTCTTTTCTGCATTTTTCAAGAGAATTTCGAAGCTCTTATATAAGACTCTCTCAGCAAAATCGATGGACCTGAAGTTTAATTATCAGTTTCTGTTCCGTATCATGTTGCAGTTAGAAACGTCTAGGAAATTTCAGGTGCTTTGTTGATGGAGAGGTTTTAGGGTTTATCGGCAATATTGGAGGAGGGAATGGGGGAAAGTGTATCTCTGATTTGATTGTTGGTGAAATTGGCGATGTGCGTTACCCAAACGTTGGTTAAAAGATGGAGAAGACCCAAACGATGTATAAATCTTACGTTGATCTCATCTTCAAACCAAATCTATCAGTTAGGGTAACGCACATCGACTTCTTCATCGCCAGTCAAATCGTTAACCAACTAAGGAATCAGCAATTTATCAATAACGTGTTTCCTGTTGTCAAAATCGCATGCTTGCTTACACCTCAAGAGCATCCACAAGACTGAGCATGGACACCTGAGTTTCCGGTTAAAGGTGAGCCAATTCAACCGGTTTACTCTCAATTGACCTGTTCACTCATGTGTTTGCTCCGTCATTTGCTTGTTGAAGTTTGTTCATTTGCCCTGTTGGTTGCTCCATAAACTATACTTTAGTTGACTAAGCCACACATTTTAATATATACTTTATAATTTGTGTGTCTGCGCTTTGTAGTTATGATGTACATTAAGAGATTCAAACAAGCAAAAGTAAGAACAGTTCCAAGAAATGGAAACATTCTTGGTCAAACTCTTCTTGAGTAGACATGTATATAAATGTTTTATGGTTCCTCGATATTAGTCTCCAAGTATATTAAATCTCTCTCTTTGTGGCTCCCTTTTCTGCTTGAAATGAGGATCTACAGGACATCAATTCTTGTGGTACTAATAATTCTCATTGGGCAGAGCAGTTTCGTGGCACGAGCCAGTGCTCAGAGCAAGGTACTCGACAGTTAAGTTCTTTTTAACAAAGGTTTAGAAACATAAACAGTCACTAACACAGTTGGGTTGTGATAATCAATAATAGGTTCATATAGTGTATTTGGGGGAGAAGCAGCACGATGATCCTGAGGTTTTGACGGAATCTCATCATCGAATGTTATGGTCACTTCTTGGAAGGTATCTATGTTATTATAGTTTCTCTTTCTCAAGTATATATAAACGTCTCAAACCGTTACTCAGTTTCTTGCTTTTGTTTGTTTCATGTTACAGCAAAGAGGATGCTCATGATTCAATGGTGCACAGTTACCGACATGGCTTCTCTGGTTTCGCAGCCAAGCTTACCAAGTCCCAAGCCAAGAAGTTGGCAGGTACGTTTTCTCAAGTCTCATATTTTCTTGGCTTTTTAGAAAACAGACATCTTAATTGTCCCAAGTCCCAACAGGCGAATCTGGTTTTTTTTCATTGCTGATGCTCTGTGTCAACAGATTTACCTGAAGTTGTTCATGTCACGCCGGATAGGTTCTACGAACTAGCAACAACTAGGACTTGGGATTACTTAGGCCTTTCTGCCGCCAATCCGAAAAATCTTTTAAATGACACTAATATGGGTGAAGACGTTATCATTGGCGTTGTCGATACAGGTATGAGTGTATAAATTTGTACATATTTGTCTCGCTACAGTTTAGATTGATCTTAATTCTCCTGTTGCTTTTGATTTCTCTGGCTTAGCGTCTCAATCAATATATCATTTTCAATGGTTGCAGGAGTTTGGCCAGAATCTGAAGTCTTCAATGACAATGGGATTGGTCCTGTGCCGAGCCACTGGAAAGGAGGCTGTGAATCAGGAGAGATGTTCAACTCCTCTCACTGCAACAAAAAGCTCATAGGAGCAAAGTACTTCATCAGTGCCTTTCTTGCGGAGAACGAAAGCTTCAACGCAACAGAATCACTCGACTTTATTTCCCCTAGAGACTATGATGGTCATGGCACACATGTCGCCACCATAGCAGGTGGTTCGGTCTTGCCCAGCATAAGCTACAAGGGACTAGCCGGAGGGACTGTGAGAGGTGGTGCACCTCGTGCTCGTATAGCAATGTACAAGGCTTGTTGGTATCTGGATGACGAAGATATAAACACTTGTTCATCTGCTGACCTCTTGAAAGCTATGGACGAGGCTATACATGATGGTGTTGATGTTCTGTCTCTGTCTATTGGCTATCGAGTTCCTTTCTACCCGGAAACCGACGTTCGCGATGGGATGGCTACAGGAGCATTCCATGCCGTTTTAAAGGATATCACAGTGGTTTGTTCAGGTGGTAACGCTGGCCCAGCGCCTCAGACTGTGGGAAACATAGCTCCTTGGATTTTTACTGTGGCTGCAACTACTTTGGACCGGTCTTTTCCCACACCTATTATACTTGGGAACAACAAAGTGATATTGGTAACAACAAGATATTGTTCATACTCAGATTCGATATTTTCACTTTCACAACATAATGTTTGCTTATCTGTGTCTTGTTTGTGTATTTCAGGGTCAAGCAATGTACGCAGGTCCAGAACTTGGCTTCACTAGCTTAGTTTACCCAGAGAATCCAGGGAACACCAACGAAAGCTTTTCAGGGTAATACTCAGTGCTCACCAAATCTTTCTAGACAGAGGACATCAATCCTTTAAACTTAAATCTGGTTCTTGTATTGCAGTACCTGTGAGCGTCTTTTCATCAACTCTAATGTTACAATGGCCGGGAAAGTTGTCTTGTGCTTCACAACATTAAAACGTTACGGCACTGTAGCAAACGCTGCGCATTATGTGAAGAGAGCTGGTGGTCTTGGCGTAATCATTGCTAGACATCCAGGCGACACTCTCTTACCATGTCTAGATGATTTCCCTTGTGTTGCTGTTGACTACGAGCTGGGGACGAATATACTTCTCTACATACGGTCCAATGGGTATGTAAAATATGAACTTTGAGAAATATGATCAATACAGAGTTGTGAAGATATTTGAGGGCAGTATTTTGTTGGAATTGTGGTTTTGCAGATCACCTGTTGTGAAGATAGAACCTTCTAAAACACTCGTTGGACATCCGGTTGGTACAAAGGTTGCAGATTTCTCATCAAGAGGACCTAATTCAATTGCGCCTGCGATCCTCAAAGTACGTCAGAATCAAGCTATTGTATTATCTTGGCTCAAAGATGTTTTTAATCATATGATTGTCTCATTGCAGCCAGATATAGCAGCACCTGGAGTGAGTATATTGGCGGCTACAAGCATCAATTCAACTTTGAATGACAGAGGATTCATTATGCTGTCAGGAACATCAATGGCGGCTCCTGTTATTTCAGGAGTTGTTGCACTTCTCAAAGCTAGACACCGTGATTGGTCTCCTGCTGCCATTAGATCAGCCATTGTCACTACAGGTTATTCATCTTCTTCAACCATTTTACAAGACAACTAATAGAATTAGCTCCATAAGAACATACTGATCTTGATAAGCGTCTTTGTTAACTCTGCAGCTTGGAAGACAGATCCGTTTGGAGAACAGATTTTTGCAAATGGGTCACCTCGGAAGATAGCTGATCCGTTTGACTATGGTGGAGGCCTTGTGAATCCAGAGAAAGCTGCAAATCCAGGTCTTGTATATGACTTGGGCCTTGAAGACTATGTTCTCTACATGTGCTCTCAAGGTTACACCGAGTCATCAATCTCTCAGCTTGTTGGTAAAGGAACAGTCTGTTCGAATCCTAGACCATCTGTTCTTGATTTCAATTTGCCTTCCATCACCATCCCAAACCTCAAAGAAGAAGTCACTCTCACCAGAATCCTCACTAACGTTGGACCACTCGACTCGGTCTATAAATTAGCGGTCGAGCCACCATTGGGTGTTCAAGTGACCGTTACTCCGGAGACACTGGTGTTCAACTCTGCAACAAAAAGGGTCTCATTCAAAGTCAAAGTCTCGACTACACACAGAATCAACACAGGTTACTACTTTGGAAGCTTGATTTGGAGTGACTCTGTTCATAACGTTACAATTCCTTTGTCTGTGAGAACGCAGATTCTTCAGAACTACTACGATGAGAATTGAAAGAAAATGAAAAAAAAAAAACTAACTTAGTACATGTACTCTATATACTTTTACAGTTGTTTGTATCGAACTATATAACTTTATGTAATGTTTGAAGCTTTGAATAATGATAAGCCTTTACTTAGTTCTCTTGTCCTCAAGTATTCTCAAATCCATGGAAGTGCTCGGACGAATCTTGCTGATCACAGAAGTTGTTAATGACAATTCAATTTACAGAATTACTAACAGCGCTATAGTATTATTCCTCATGATTCATGACACAGAAAGTGAGGAAAACTATCCAAGAGAAGTTCATGTCACGTACAAGTATACTAACTAAAGCAGACCTAACTAGATAAACCTATTTGATTACAAAGCAACAACAAGACTAGACAATATTTGAATTTGATATCTTCACATTCCTTTTGAACAAGAGAGATCTCTCATCTCTTACATGAAAAAAATATATATATGAAATTATGTTGAACAAGACGGCCTTTGCTTCTTAACTGTTTGTTGACTATCCAGATAAAGTTACATGTTGTTTCAATGATTCCAACTCTCGGAAGATAACAAATCATTGTAGATGATTGCACAGTTCAACTTTGAATTGTTCAATATACAACAAGTCATGTAAACACAAGTAGAAAAAAACAAGAAAAAGCCAAAAAGGGTAACGGTCCAATGGAACGGCGCCCATGTGGTCAGATAAGACTCGGACCCGGCTAATGTAACGACTCAAAGCATCCATTAGGCCCGAGCCCACCCACTTTGGACCGACAAAATGTACCATTACCCTTTAAGCCTATCACTCGGTCTCCCAAGCTCGGCAACTGAGTATGTGTTCTCTCCTCTATTTATCGAACTTTGTTGTCCTCGCTTCTTCCGATGTGGGACTGTATACGTAGCTTTATGTCTAGGCCAAAATAATTATTACAAAAAAAAAAGGTAATGAGTTGTCCTCGTTATGTCTATCTCTCCAAAACCACAAGTACTCAGCTTTATATCGGGCACCTTTAAAGGTTTTTGCTCTCATACCAAACAGTTCTGAAATCAACAAACTGTCCTCGCTCTTGCTTTATTGAAGGAGCAAAACGTTACAAAGTCAAATAGTTTGATACATACAAGTATACAGTATAACTACTATCTCACGACGAGCTACACAAAAAGAAAACAAAGCTCACACGAATGGTTAATTTTTCTGTTGCTGACATATTTTCAGTTCTCATCGTAGAAGTAAGGCAGAATCTGAGTTCTCACAGACAGAGGAATGGTGACATTATGCACAGAGTCGCTCCAAGTCAAGCTTCCAAAGTAGTAACCTGTATTGATTCTGTGTTTGGTCGAGACCCTCACTTTAAAAGAGACCCTTTTGGCTGTAGAGTCGAATACTAAAGTCTCTGGCGTGACGGTCACGCGAACTCCCAATGGTGGCTCAACGGCTACTCTATAGACCGAGTTGATTGGTCCAACGTTAGTGAGGATTCTTGTGAGAGTAACTTCTTCTTTAAGGTTTGGGATTGTGATGGAAGGCAAGTTGAAATCAAGAACAGAAGGTCTAGGATGCGAGCAAACTGTTCTTCTTCCGACAAGCTGAGAGATTGATGACTCATTGTAACCAACAGAGCACATGTAGAGAACATAGTCTTCAAGGCCCATGTCATAGACAAGACCTGGCTTTGCTGCTTTCTCTGGATTCACAAGACCTCCACCATAGTCAAACGGATCAGCTAGCTTCCGAGGTGATCCTTCTGCAAAAATCTCTTCTCCAAATGGATCTGTTCTCCAAGCTGAAGAGTAATCAACAATCAGTATGTTCTAATGTATCAAACTTGATTTGATGAGGTGAAGAAGATGAGAGAACCTGTAGTGACAATGGCTGATCTAAAGGCAGCAGGAGACCAATCACGGTGAAGAGCTTTGAGAAGTGCAATAACTCCTGAAATGGTCGGAGTCGCCATTGATGTTCCTGACAAGAAAATGAATCCTCTGTCGTTGAAAGGAGCATTGGTGGTTGTAGCAGCTAATATGCTCACTCCAGGTGCTGCAATATCCGGCTGCATGATCATATGATTGATTACATCTCAAGAAAGATAATTTGATGAGTCTGAAAGTTAAACAAGAACATGTAAAGATTCTCATATACTTTAAGGATCGCTGCTGATATTGGATTAGGCCCTCTTGATGAGAAAGCTGCAACCTTTGTACCAACTGGTTGTCCAATGAGTGTTCTTGAAGGTTGTATCTTTACAACAGGAGATCTGCAAAACCAACAAAAATGTTGTTTATTTTTTCTTACTATTGTAACCGGTGAAGAATCTTAGTCTAGATTTTCAATCATACTCAGTGGAACGTATGTAAAGAAGTATGTCAGTCCCGAGCTCGTAGTCAACAACAACACAAGGGAAATCATCTAGACATGGCCGGAGAATGTTGACTGGATGTCTTGCGACGATCACACCGAGACCGCCGGCTCTCTTGACATAACTAGCAGCACTCGATACAGCAGTGTCGAAAGGTGATGTTGTGAAACACAACACAACTTTCCCTTCCATTTTAAGATTACCATTGATGAGAGTAAGCTCACAGGTACTGCATTTACAAGCAGCCAGAGTGAATCTAGAGCATTGAGCTTCCTTACGTTGCAAGATTTGGTGAAGACAGAACAGAGTTGAGATATGATATTACCTAGAAATAACCTCGTTGCTACCACTCCCTAGATTCTCTGGAAAAACCAAGCTAGTGAAGCCAAGTTCTTGACCTGTGTACATTGCTTGACCCTGAAGTATAGTAACCAAACTCACCATAAGACATAAATCATTAAGCATTTGCTTGTTGAGCAATTAATATATATCTTGTTGTTACCAATATGACTTTATTGTTCCCAAGTGTCATAGGAGTGGCAAAGGACCGGTCTAGAGAAGTTGCAGCCACTGTGATGATCCAAGGAGCCAAGTTTGCGACGGTATAAGCCGCTGGGCCTGCGTTACCAGCCGCACAAACAACTGTGATACCATTCAAGACTGCATGGAATGCACCAGTGGAAATCCCATCTCGAACATCGGTTTCTTGAAACAGAGGCTCATAGCCTAAAGAAAGAGACATAACATCAACACCGTCATGAATCGCCTCGTCCATTGCTTTCAAGATGTCAGCGGAAGAACAGATATTTGCTTCTAGGTCATCATGATACCAACAAGTCTTGTACACTGCGATACGAGCACGAGGTGCACCACCTCTCACAGTCCCTCTAGCTAGCCCCTTGTAGCTTGTATTGGGCACGTACGAACCGCCAGCTATGGTTGCAACATGCGTTCCGTGACCACTATAGGTCTCTA